GATGAACTAGAACTTTCTTTGGTGATTAATGGACAGGCTCTGTTATCTGTATTAGCATGTGGGGTTCAGCGGTGTGTACGTTTGTCAGAACTTGTGGAGTTGCACATTTAAAAGAAAAGAAGGCCCAGCAGCTCTTGGCTGTGACAGAATGGCCTCTGTCTCTGTGGGGAGAAGAGATTATCTACTGACTGCAAGTTCCTCCTCAGACAGTGTCCGCCTTTGAAAAAGGCCTGAAATGACAGTCAGTTTCCCTGACAATCTCAAAACCAGGGTCCGTTTTACTTTGTAGGGTTTGCTGTCTGGGGTTTCCCAGTGTTTACAGTGTATTTACACAGAGTAGTCATTTGGGTGGCAGCTGTAATTAGCAAAAGTGGCAGTGAAAATGAACACATAGCACGGAAGAGAGAATTGCCCCAGTGCCATATACGATGTTATTTTCAGGTGGCATTCTCCGAAGGAGCTGACTAGTGTGCGGGGCACTGAGGAAGGAGCCCTTCTCCCCCTTAGAATGGTCTCGAATCCCAGGACCACCGCCACATGCCACCCAACCTCAGAATCCACAGGAACCTGGGCTTTGTGTGCGATGCTGAAATGTCTGAGAAACTCAGAAAGCCCCATTTCCACCAAGTTCCTGAGACCTGCCATCTGCTGCAGGAAGAAGAAAACGGAGGGTTGTTTTCCTGTTTTGTTTCTTTCTCCCCACCATTTGCTTATTGTGTCACTGGAGCAAGCAGGCAGCTTGGGGAGGGGCGGGCCCACTTGACAGGGGCTCAGGGTGTGGGCTGAAAGGTGGCTGGTGGAGGCTTTGGAAGCCCAGTTATGGAAATTGCCTCTTCCCCCCTGCTGCCTTACCAGCTCCTGACCACATGCTCCTTCCACACAGGAGCAGCTCGTGAACCAGCTTGCCCAGATAAGCAAAATGCAAGATGGGAGAGAGGTCTGAAGGGAAGAGGGGGGAATAAGAAAGGAAAAGCCCTCAACAAATTATCTGAACCGTTATTTTGGTGCTGGGGATACAAAAATAAAGGCATAGAAGTATTTAAGCAGGGGTGGCTCCTTGGAGGCAAAGATTCTGAAGCTTCTTCTGACATAATTTGGGCATGTTTCAAGGAGGGACCAGTCCTTGGGGAGAGACACCAGGCTTGGGAGGGTGGAGGGACAGTGTAGAAGAGGAAAACCCTCAATGAGATGGATTGATTCAGTGACTGGGGTCATGGGAGTAGGTGTGTCAGAGACAATAAGGTTGGCACAGAATAGAGCAGGGTTCAGAGCTGTTGTGCCTGGGGTTGCTATGAGTTGGAGCCGACTAGATGGCACATAACAACAACAGTGGCTGTCTAAGGTGCCCTGATCCAGGCCATAGTCTTAGCAATTACTTACTGTGTAGCAGAGAGCTGGACAATGACTAAGGATGACAGAAGAAGAATCGATGCCTTTGAGTTGTGGTGCTGGAGAAGAGTATTGAACATACCATGGACTACTAAGAGAACAAACAGGTTTGTCCTGGAGAAGGTGAAAGCAAGTTACTCCTTGACGACAAGGACTGTGAAGCGCCATCTGACATACTTTGGAGATGTGCCCAGGCGGAACCATCTTTCGAGATGGACATCGTGCTTGGAAAGGTGGAGGGGCAGTGCAGGAGAGGGAGACCCTGGAGGAGGTAGATCAATACAGTAACTGGGATAATGGGGGAGGTATGTCTGAGGCAGGGAGATTGACTCAGAAAAGGATAGGGTTCAGAGCTACTGTACATGGGGTTGCTGTGAGTCATACAGTTGACTTGACTTCATGTAACAACAACAGTGGCTGGCTGGGAGTCTCCTGGGGAAGGCAAATGGGTTAAGGACTCAACCACTAATTGTAGAGTTTATAGTTGAACTGCCCAGAGGCATCATTGGACAAAAAGGCCTGATGATCTGCTTCCAAAAGGTTACAGCCTGGAGAGGTTCTATGTCCACCCGTGGGGTCGGTCAGAAGTAGGGAGCCACTCATGGCAGCTGGTTTGGTTTGTGGCTGGCTCCCAGCGCTCATTTCAGTAGGGGGCCTAGTAGTCACACTGTGCCTGCCCTACACCTTGGCACCCTGTGTTTATTTCTAAGCTCTCTTAAAGCAAAACAAAAATGACCCCAACAAAAGCCCAATTCTTTCATTTCCCCTCCCCTCCTTTTGCTCTTATTTGTGCTTTTTCATTGTACTTATTTATTTTTTATTCCCTTTTGAATCCACGGCAAACGACTTTCACTGAATTCTTTACCTCTGGCTAAAGTCAGGCTCAGGAAATAGAAGACCTGGGGGAAAGCCTGTGCTGGACCAGTGATGGGGCTGGGGGAAACGCCACATGACAATGTGATCGGAGCATACTCCGGTCCTGGGCCGCTTCCAAGAAAGTTTAATTACAGACCTCTCGGTGGGTGTCTCACTGGTGCTGTCTTCCCACCAGGGTATAAGGCATTCCCTAGCCAGCCTCGGGGTTCTGAGGGCAGCCCAGGTGCTTGTACTCTGGTGGCCTATTGGAAACCTTGCTCATGGGGGTTCTCCTGTCTCCACTTGCCATCAGGTTGACACCTGTAGTGTCAGGAGGCAGTGCTAAGCTGAGGAATGAAAGAATGAAAGGCGTTGTGAAGCCTTTTAGGTCCCAGGAGCCTGATCTACCTGCCGTTTAGACCTGAGAAGCTTCAGGAGGATCCGGTTCTAGCCTCTCTGAGGAAGCACTGGGCCGAGGAGGGGGCAGAGTGGGCCTCTGAATGTGGAGACGTAACAAAGAGAGTCCAAAAGCCCAAAGTCCCAGGATTGGCCCCAGTGGGACAGGTCTCTGTGCTTAATGAGGATGGTGGGGTTGAGAAAAGGCAGCTCAGCGTCACCATGGCCCTGGCAGACACCAGCAACACCATGCACCCAGCTCAGTGGCACCCCCAGTGGCTGGGGCCCACAGAGGCCTGCATGACAAGGATGGGGCCATCCCTAGTTCTGACACCCCAAGGGGAGAAATCTCTGGCTTCAGGCTGAACTCCAGTGCACCCCTTGGGCTCCCAGCTGCAGGTCCCCTTTGTTCCTCTGCAGGGAGGCCCTCCTTTGGCCCCTCCAGGTGACTTAACAGTTTGCTCAGTTCCTGATTTCCCGGTAGATGGTGCAGGCCTACACAAGACAGGCTCCTGGTGACAAGGCATTTCCTCAGGCACCTGGGGCTGACAGAGGGTCCAGCCCAAGCCAGAAGATCAGGGCGAAGCCTGTCACGGACCGTCCTCAGCGACAACATGGTAAGCTCCTCACAGCCTCTGCCGTGATTCTCTGTGCCCTATGAGTGAGTAGCCCCATCTCAAAAAGCAAGTTCTATAGGAAGAAAGGTTCTTGTTTCTTGCCAGTAAGTGGCAATCACAGGAACTGTGACTTCTATGGGACTGATGATGTCCTTCCATCATTCTAACAAGCCTGTGAGGAAGGGACCCTACTCTCCCCATCTTCCAGATGAGCTTGCTGAAGCCAAGGTACCAGAATCCCCCAGTCAAGGAGTCCTGGACTCAGATTCACCCTGACCGGGACTCTGGAACCAGTGAAGCCCTTCAGAGGAAGCACTGTGGATCCCAGGTTAACGTGAATGGACTCGGGTCAGAGAAGCTGCAGACAGCTCGCAGGCAGGGAGCCAGAAGGGGCTGAATCTCTCCTAAGGGGTGGCCTTCCTGACTCACTGTCTTTACACAGCATCATCTCCTTCCCCAGCTGCCAGTGACACCCCGGAGAAGAAGGGTGTGCGGAATAAGGGGAGCTGTCTTTTGTAGGAGGAAGATTTCGTTAAACCTTGAAATTTTTGAACCACAACACAAAGACAGTTTCTCAAGGGTATATTGGAGGAAGATTCTCTCCACATAACCCTTCCCATGCACCATTGAAAGAGTTGGGAGCCACCAGGCCAGTGGGAGTTTCTGTGCTTGGTGACTCAGGAGTCTAATGGTTATTATCCTAAAGCATTCGGGGCTCCTGTTCAACAAGTCAGGGTAAACCCCCTTACCTTGCTGGTGGGGAGGCATGTCTGTCTATCTGCTAAAGCAAGGTTTTCCTACAGAGAAAGAGATCAAGTTCAAAGGGACAATGACTGGAATAGCCCCCTGCTTGTCCTGTATCCCACTGGCCTTTGTGTGTCAGGGCAAGGACCCACAAATATGACATTTTCATTAAGAGCTGATGTCAGCTCACAGCAACTCCATGTCCGCAGAGTAGAAAGGCTGATTCACATATTCAAAGGGTGACCTGAGGGGAGCACACCACGAAGGTATTTTCTGAGGCATTGTCCATTTTGCCACTGGTGGGTTTGTCTCTCTGTGTGGCTCTGTTTTGTTTTGATACTTCTAGCCGTGCCATTCCCACTTCTGAGACAGTTATGATGACCACTAAATTGTTCTCTGTTGTTGTATGTCCTGTCGAGTTGGAACTGACCCACAGCTGACCCTCCAGGGAGTTTTCACAGGCAGTTAATCGTGTGGGAGGAGATTGCCCATTCTTCTCCCACATAGCAGCTGGTATGCCTTTGGGATTGCAGTGCAGCTTCTTGCCACTAGGTCACCAGAGCTCTAAATTCTTCTTTAACCTCTTCCAATTATAATCTAGGGAGCTCTGGTAGCCTAGTGGATAAGGAATGACGCTGCCAGCATAAAGGCAGGTGGTTCAAATCCACCAGCTGAAGATAAGCCGTGTCTTCCCTTGCAGTTCTCAGCCTTGGAGACACAATGGAGGGTCAGCAATGACAATGAGAGAGAGAGGAATAGTAGGATTCCAGCATTAGTTCATACATGCTTTCTTCTATGGGACATGAGTGATGGGCTGCTGGTTCTCACAGGGCTGGGACACAGTAATTAACACAGCAGCTCATCAGATACAAGGAAAAGGCGTCATATGTTCTCCAAGCAGGTGACACTGCACTTTTCAGAGAGGAAACCCCGAGGTCCCGAGGTTGCGGCTTCATACTTCCTAACAACCACTTTCCTCTTATTTGTGCCTAGTACGGATTCATCAACACCTGTCTGCAGTCTCTCGTGATTGAGAAATTTGGTGAAGAGACCTGGGAAAAATTGAAGTAAGTGTGTTAAAACGACAGTGAAGTGTCCCTGAGACACTGTTTAAGCCTGCGGTTTGTTTGGGTTTTTCTTCTTCTTTTTTTCAGTTACTGGTTTTTACATTTCCTTTTGCTCAGACAAGAGAGTTAAATGTTGTTAGCTGCTGCCAGCTCAGCCCTGGTGATAATGGGATCACACTGTTGTGATACGTAGGGTTTTTAGGGACTGGTTTTCATAAATAGACTACCCAGCTTTTCTTCCTAGTCTGTTTTAGTCTGGGAACTCCAATAACACTTGTGTGGCATCATAGTAACCCACAAGTCTCCACTGACATGCATGGTGGCTATGCCAGAAGTGTATCATCCGGGACTCCAACCCAGGTCTCCCGCGTCTATAGAAGGGAGCGTTCTACAACTTCCCCCCCCGTTAGCTGAACGGACCTGCTGTCATGTAGTGCTGGGCTGTCATGTAGTGCTGGCTTTCAAACAGATTTGATGAGGAAGGTCAATTCAAGGGCTTTAAAAATGACATCTGAATGCAGAAAAATTCTATATTCCCTATCTAACTATATAAAAGAAATTGCTAACCCCAGTTTCTAAAATGAGTTTTAAAGGAGGATCTGTCCCAATATGTTCCAGTATCGTTCCTCTTATCCCACAGACATACTTGCATTTGCTCCTTTAATTGAAGAAGGAAAAGCATTGTTCTGTTGTGCAAATATGGGGCTGCTGGGTTCTGCAGAAGAGATTTCAAAGGGAGGAGACAGGCTGTCTTTCTTCCACGGAGAGGGTGTCCCTTTGAAATAGGACTAGAGCTACTCCTTAGCAACACAATCTAGTCTTTAGTCTGTCATTACAACGTCTGTGTCCTTCTGAGCCGGCCACTCACACCGCTGACCCCCCCAATCCCTGTGTGGCCTCCCTGACTCCAGGGGCTTGAGCTGTGACCTGTTTCCCTACAGGGTCTTAGCCTTTAAACATCCCTAAGGGACCAGGAATCAGCTGAGTTTCTGTGGAGTCCACAAGTGTGAAAACATGATTGACAGCTTCTATTAATCGATTATGTGCAAATTAATACAACTTTGCGCTTCTTTGCTTAATAAAGCTCCGGGAAATGTTAATGGTTAGTAACCGGTTCTGGCTAAGATTCAGCAAAATGAGTAATTTCTCATGGTGGTGTTAGCGAAGCCTTTTTGGAAAAAAAAATTCAACACAAAATGATCACATGCCTCAATTAGTTGTCGCTCTGCCAACCCAAAGACAAGCATCTTGAATCCACTAGCTTCTTTGTGGGAGAAAGGTGGGCAATCTCCTCCTGTGTGATTTACTGTCTCTGAAAACTCCACCGGAGACCCAGCTATGAGTTGGTTCTGATGTTACATAACTACAATTCTAAGTGAAGGCACTCTGTTGGCATAGCACAGTATGAAAGGTCTGTAGTTCAGATCCGTCAGCCAATCCTTAGGAGAAAGATGTAAATATGAACAATTTCGGGAACCCAGTGGAGGGTTACTATGAGTTGGATTAGACTTGCTGGCAGTGGATTATTCTAAAGAACTCACCATAATACAGGAACATATACAAACACCCTTGCGGTGCAAAGGTTAAGTTCTTGGCTGCTAACTGAAAAATCAGTGGTTCTCCCATATCCTTGAGGGGAAAGCTCTGCGGAAACAACATGTGTTTCCTACCTGACCCTTGACCGCCAGTTTGTCACCATCTAGCCCGGAGGGACCTGCATGAACTCTCCTGACCAGCCTGCTTGGGGGTGGAGTGTTGATCTTTGTTGACTGATTTGGATCTCATGAACCTCATCCTGTCTAACTCTGATCAGAACTGTTCACTTCAGCTCAGCTTCTGCCTCAGAAAATTCCCTCCTGTCTAGGATGGATGCCAGGTCTTTGGAAATAACCAGAAATGACTGGACACCCAGACGTGAAAGTCTGTGGAATAACTCCTTGTTCTGTTCCACCTGTGACAGGCAGCTGAAAGGCATTGCTTAAAGGCTTCTTGTCCTCCCTTAATTACTGAGCAATGTAGCTCCCAGCTGCCTGAACCCTACATGAGTGAGAGGTAGATAGTGCACTTCTGAGAATCTAGGAAGGAATATTTTGTATGGGTAAGCACCTGGGAGGAGCTTGGTCCTTTGTGGATTCTATCTTTGCTTTCTCTGAAAGGGATGGAAAGCCTCCTGTTCCTCTCAGAACCTCAAAGCAACCAGAGCAAGCAGGGGGTCCTGGAATCCATGTGAATGCCAAGTGCCATCAAGGGAGTGAAGGTGGGTCTGAGAGCAATGAAGTCCATGCCACATGTTCAAGAGCAGTACTGATGGGCTATGACCTGTTTGTGTGCCTAGGTTTTCTCTCGAAGTGCCACGTCCCTGCTTAGTTTAGTCTCAAAGGACTGTATTTGGAGCAGTAGATCCTGATGCCATCACACTAGAAATGTACCTATAATTCTGAGCAATCCTATGGAGCAAGCCCAGCCAGTGATGAAAAGTGCATCACATTACAGCATTCAGTTTAATAAAAGAGTGCAGAAAACTCAACTTACAAAACTCAAATTAAGGGAAAATTATTTGCTGTGTGAAAGGATTTGCCCCAGGTTACATTTAAATAACAGCTCCCTGGTGCTTTTAAAATAGAATTTTAGCTGGAAAAGAAAAAAAAAATCCATCAATCCCTAGTCAAATTTTAAGAAGAAAACTGTTAAGCAAAATGAAGTATGTCTCCATACTTTAGGACATAAATTTTATTTTATATGAAATAATCAGAACCAGATGTTTCTCCTCCTCTGCCCGCCCTGTTTATTTCCTTCTCATATAGCTTAGATTTATAGATTTCTAATTATGAATCCCTCTTTTATAAGCCCCTAGCTACAACCTTTATCAAAACTTAACAATGAGAACCAACTAATAGATGGAGAAAAGGATAGCCTTGGGGTCAGATACATTTTGCTTGGATCACTTACTGGCTGCTTGGCTTAGGTAGGTTGATTTATTCCGCAAATATTAATCAGCTCCTAACGTGTGCCAAGCAGGGTTGTGGGCCCTGGGGGCAGTTGTGAAGGGAAATTGTCAAGGGCTCTGTTCTCCAAGAATGCATATTCCAACACGAGGGTCAGACAATAAACAAGTTAAGTCAATGAATGAAACCATCCAGATGGTGAAAAGTGCTACACAAATGGAGGGTGCTTGACAGTGAGTGGGAGGGAAGGTGGCGGCTCTGTTCAGGTCATCAGAGAAGGCTCCGAGGAAGGGGGATTTGAGAATGGAAAAGAGGAGGGCCAGCATTGAGAGGAACCGAGAGCCAGCATCCGGTCAAGAGGAAGAGAAAAGCAAGTGTGAATGTCCTGGGGTGTGTGACGCAAGCGTCTTGAGTAAGAATTCTGCTGGACAAGGAGAGTGGAAGAGCACTGGTGTCGCTCTACATTGCTGTCACACGGCCTTGATAACGTGTATGTCACTGGACTAAATATGTTCTAATTCTGTCTGAGTCCATCGTTGTGGCTACTTAGTGCCTTTCAACACAGAATGTCCATTATCTGTCACCACATTGAACAATGTTCTTTTCCTATTATAAGATTTTTTTATTTGCTAAGTCTCAGACATAGCACTGGTCTGTCCATTTGCTGCACAGAGGTAACTCGTGGTTGCTGTGATGCTGAACACTGTGACACTGATGTGTCAAATGCGATAATGGTTACCCATGGTGGACGGTGTTTGGTGGAGCTCTCCAATTAAAACAAGCTTGGAAGCAGGCATGGCATCCACTTCTGAAATAGCTTGCCTCCAGAAACTCTATGAACTTGGAGAAATGATGGAAGTTATATAAGTGTTCAGGTCTTTCGTTCATAGAGTCACTATGAATTGTCTACTACTCAATGGCACTTAACAGTAATTCTCAAATATAGATGGTCAGGCCTTTCTTCTCAGTCTGTCTTAGTCTGGAAGCTGTGCTGAAATCTGACCCATGTGGTGACCCTGATGGGATCTAAAGTGGCCTGGCTTTCAGACCACGCACCTCAATGCCAGAGTGTTCACAGAGAGACCTCTGGGGAAAATAGAAGTTCAGCCTGCCTCTCCCCATCTTTCCATCTTTCTTCATCTTGATTTTATTTTTCTGAGTCTTCCAAACTTTTCTATGCAGCTTTTCAATTCAAGGAACCACCACCAACTGACTGGCTCTTCTGTTTCTCAGTGCTTTGATTCTAGAGAACTGAGTTAGATGATTTTGGATCAGCCTGAGTCAGATGTCCATGCTTGGCCCAATCAGATGGGCTTTGGACAGCAGAATCCCTACAACGAGGCTCCAGGCACAGCTCGCAGGGCTGCCTTGTATTCTCCACTTAAGAACAAGTGCATGGAGAAGGGGTAGATGGTTGGATGATTGTGTGTGGATACATGGAAGGTAAATAAAATAAAGTGGAGATGAACGGATGATGGCCACACTCAAACTGACCCATTTAAAAAGAGAGGTTGATGGCATTGTGTACTTTCACTCTTTGTTAGTGGTTACTAACCAGATGTTCATGGATGGGCTTCAGAGACTCTGAAAATTATATGAAAACAAACAGTTCTGTCTCAGTGAGGGTGAAACCAAGTTTCTCCTCAGAGGCTAGGATTTTGAAGCTCTGACTCACATACTTTGGGTACGTGGCCAAGAGGGACTGATCCTTGGAGAAGGACATCATGCTTGGAAGGATGGAGGAAGAGCACAAGAGAGGAAGACCCCAGATGAGATGGATTGACACAGTAACTGGGGCAATGGGATTAGGTGTGTCAGAATTAGTGACACTGGCTCAGGATAGGGCAGGGTTCAGAGCTGTTGTACATAGGGTCATAGGGTCACTATGAGTCACAGGCGACTCAATGGCACAGAGCAACAAGAACAAAAAATACAGTGTGTTTCTATATGCAAATCCTGGGGACAGGATTTCATTAGAATCCTTAAGAAGTCCCTTAAGAAGTTTAGGAACCCTGACTATGCATTCTGGGAAATTTAATTCTTGATAAATAAGAA